CTAAGTTTTTTATTTATGCCAATGACTGTTTGTTTGAACAACCTGAGAAAATGTTAAATGTTGGCACTTTGTGTTAGCAAGAAGTTATATACTTAAAATGAAGTTATATGTATGCCAAAAAATTTCCTTCTTTGTCTTACTGCCTCTATGAAATACACTGCTGGACATCTACGGACTATGTAAAATTTCATGTGTAGAGGAACTTGAAAAATTGTTTCTTTTAATGGCTCTTGTGCAGTAGTACACCCACACTGCTAAAGAAAGTGATGATTAGATGATGAATTTTTCAATCTTATACCTAGAATAAGAAGCCTTTTTTTCTCTACTATAGGCTCCAAAGCCTAAAGGAACAATAGAGGTTAGCTCCATGATAGACTTCCTTTTAACAATGACTAGAGAGAGCTCTGCATTTACAATAACTAATAGCTATCGTAAGGGTGACTGTAAAACGTTGAATTGTACAATTCTCGTGCCCATGGTGTTTGACACATTTAACTCTTTTTATACGGCGAGAAAAACAGGTGTTTTATTTTTAGGTTACGCTTTTTCTTTCTTGTTGAACAAACTACTGCACCTAATATTTTGTGTGATACATCAACACGAAATAGAATGAACATTTTTATGCATGTAAGCTTCATTAACAAGATTTATGCTATGTGAGTGATATAAATTACCAGATTCAGGATTGCAGGACAAAATTGGACATTGTTTGTGAGGACATGTTTCTGTCTTCTAAAAAAAATGTAACAGGAAGTATAAAAAATGTACTGCCATCTAATAGGCACCACCCCTGTAAAATTAAATTTTTTTTTAACATGCCTTTGCCAACAAAAATGTTAGTGTACGCATTATAATTGGATGTGTCATGTGACAAAACAGTGCCTTGATGAGAAGTATTGCGTAACGTCACATTTCTTGCAGTGTAAACTCACGTTTTCTGCTCAATTATTAGTCTCACTTGTATTTCTTGGTTTTTATTAGTGTTCATCCTAGCAGGCTGGTGCTCTAATGAAAACTGGCTCTGTTTGATGCAGAAAGCAAAACTAACTGACTTCCCGGGCTGGTTTGAATTGTAGTTGCTCTCAGAACCAAAGTTCGACCAAAAAGCAGCATCCTGGGATAGACAACTGCGCCACTTCGAAGTGTGTTAAAAATGAAGAACATGTGAGGAAAAAAAAAACTACATAAAAAAAGAAAACTGTCATTATTCTTCTTCATAATGAAGAGCACACTATGTCTATGGAAGTTGTGGAATTTCTCAAAAACAGCAATTCAAACTATCAATAGAGGGCTATTGATGCCCTATTGGTGCAGTATGGAAAGAGTTAATCTTTGCAAATTTTTCATACACTAATACCTTTTTTTTTAAGTGCACTGAGGCAGTGAATTTCTGGGCATGTGTACAACAACAGCAAATCTTAACTGAAGAAATAGCTTTTTCAAGGACAGTTGCACAAGAGTAGCAACACCCAATTTTTAAGGCTATGCTTTTGCTTACCGCACACTTGCAACAGCCAAACATACATCGTGGCTGGAACTTCTAACTCTTGTGTTTCTAGTAGAATACATTTTTAAAACATCCATTTTGCAAGCATACAAAGCTGTCTGAAGAAAGGACAACCTTTTGGCAAATTCAAATACGATATCTCTGAATCCCATGTTAACCAAACCGCTGTACTAGCAGATTTCACAGACAAGAGTGCCAGTATACTGTTCTGTTGCTTTTGTAGGAAACTGTATAGGCTTGCCAATGTTTCCACTGAAAAGCTCTGATAAAGCTACCAAATGTGACTTGCTGTAGAAGAGACAGTTGTAACAAATACCCTTTGTAAGTCACTCGGGAAAAAGTACGAGACCTAGCAGCAAATTTCACGCATCAGACAGCCTGTCTAGTCACAATAGTGCATGTCTCATCTGCTGATGCTATGCAAGATCGTGCCTTCCTCACACAATTCAAGCATGAAGCAGTTCACGACAAACTGGCTCCGTGTGTACCAATGAAACAGAACACAAGAGAAATAATTGCAATGAAATATGGTCCTCGCTCGAAATTCATGAATGACACTTGCAAGTTACAACAGAAGTTCTTGGCTGACAGGCAAGCTTCACGCCACTAATTTGTACTGTCTGCATTAGAATGTGGCCTTTTTTACGCCTATGCTGAAAACCGTGTATGCTTGTACTTTTCTTACTTAGAACTATCTTGTTCAGGTGGCATTTGGCGCACTATAACACACACTCTGGCTGTAGATGCCACAAAAGTGGAGAAAGAACAATAGTATGCTACAGCTTTTTTGCATAACTGCTCCTGAATCGGCTTAGTTCTTACTTGACGAATTATGCATTCGCCACTGAAAGGATCTTAAAAACAGGCGGCCAAGTAGCCATGCTTAGCATCAACTTACTTGAATATAACATTTGTACAGCCAGCTAGATATTGTAGAAAACATGCTCACAGAGAACAACGTTAACTTGTGTGCTAAGCCCTACTTGCATAATCGCTCTGGAACATTCGGCGAGCCAGCTTAGTTCTTTTCCACTGCAACTCACTCAAGGTACTGCAATGGCTGTTCGGTAGAAAGAGCCTTTGTAGAATGAGCAGACTGCATGAGCATCCTTTCACACAGAAGAACTTTCTAAATGACCACTTGAACTGCTAGATAGCCTACTAGTGTAATCACATTTGGCGATCTTGAAAGGTTGCTGCAAATTAAAATAGGTATGCTGTTGATTCTTGACAACCTTGTACTGTCACTGTCAGACTCCAACCAAAAACACCTGTCAAAGGCTTGCACAGAAACAAGTCGCACGAAGCTAAGGCCCTTTTTTGAGAGAAGAAGCTGTTTGTAGAGGGTAAAGAGCTTGCTTAGATGCCCTCACAAATGACTTGATGCAATGAGGGGAATAAAGTTATACACAAGCTCTATGAAAGCCAACAGACAATGAGATTCTGTCTGAGAATCTCTGCCCCATTGAGATTCTGTCTAATAGTGTCATCAGCTGACTTGCACTACAAAAATAATGCCCTATCATAGCTGGTGAAACAAAGAAATTTAATGGGACATTAAGGGCTGTGCTAGTCGTGCCTAAAAAAATAAAAATGTGAGAATGTTCAAAAACTGCTCAACCATTTCTGAGAGAATGCTGTAGCATGCGTCTCCTGATAAATTTTTATCAGCCGGGGTGCGCTAACATGCTCCTAAATTTACGTACTGAAGCATTTTTGTGTTTCTCAACTGTCAGAATGGGACTGCTGCTAAAAGGAGCTATTTATACAGTGCCATTCTTATGCATCCCTTGTATGTTACACACAAACTAAAATGAACCTTCTCAACAAGGCCCCTATAATTCTTGCATCACTAATACAAGTTATGGTGTATCTCAAGCATGCGTGCTTGGTCCTTCAACTTTTTACACATAGCAACAGTTTGCAATACTGTTACAGTAATCAGAAAAGGCAACTGTCCACTATGCATAGAATATGAAATGCATTTAATAATGTGCAAGTACAGTATAATGTTCTGCTATACTTATTGATGCGGTGTACTATTTTACCCACTCGCAAATATGACATACTCATGAGATACTCCACCTTAATGACCCTCAGCGTAATATAATTTCATAGCCTACTTGAGTCTAAGAAAAAGAAAAGGAGACAGGATTGGCAGCTAACAAAAATATCAACCAATTATCTTCAGGTTTTATCAAACAATTTAAGCTTTTATAGGCACTTACTAACGAGCTGCTTTTCGTAAGAGTGAATGGCCTTGTGCATATGCTTATGATGAGTTAGTATTGTACTACAATTTGCTCTCTCTTTTTTCCGGCAGCTGATATCAACTATGTGATCTAAAGCTAAAATGTAAGCTTTATGTTTCCCCTGAATTGTATGCACAGAAATGACATAGAAATTTTACTTTTTGTTACCCTTAGTAAAAATGTGATTGAACCTTTGGCCTAATGAGGATTTGTAGTGCATAGTACCTAAATGCACTTCATAAATGCATTTCAAAGGCCATAAATTTCAAGCATCTCAGATTCCTAAACATACCAGTAGTAGACAGAGCTCATCATTAAAGACCAGAACGTAATCAGCTAGAAACTCGGGCACAGCAGCGACTCAACTTTGACAACCAGTGATGGGATTACTACAGATGTACGCTGTCAATATTTATGAAAGCGTACACGCGCGCATGTGCCCTGCACCTTTCTAGCGACTGCTTGTTAAGCGGGAGCAGCTGCAGCCTCTTTTCACAATGTGCGATCGAAAACAACCAGTCACTGACTCACTCGTGATACTGGCACGATCGGGACCCCTGCCCCTTGCAAGGCGATTACTTTCGCCTTGAAGGGGCAGAGGGTTGCAATGGTGCCATATCACGAATGGATCAGTGACTGGTCGTTTTGATTCGCACAATGTGAAAAGAGGCTGCAGTTGCTCCCGCTTGAACACGTAGCAAGCAGTTGCTGGAAGGTGCAGCCCACATGCTTGCATGTTTGCTTTCATAAAAATTGACAGTATACCCGAGTACAACTCATCTCAAGGGACGAAAAAAATCACATTATGACAAGTTAGAGCTGCGCAATGTCGAAGCTACAGAACACCTAACTACATGGCTAGTACCAAAAAGGTATACAATGAAGGCATTTCGTGCCATTACCCAGACTTGAACACTGTTGTGTGTGACACACTTCACATTTTAATGCGTAGCTCGCACATACTCTCATTATGACCATAAGAATGTACTTCACAGTTTATGTGTGCCAAGCAACCATACTTTTCTTTTTGTTGGTACAACATATATGTATAGTACATTTTTTTTTTAACGGGGCTACAGCAGCAGAGTTTCTTATTAAAATTATTAGAAGGTATAAAACTGGCAATGGTAGTGCTACCAAATAATTATGCTTGTACATGGAGTTCCCTAATCTTAATGAATGCAACTTGATATTCTCATGGCATTATTCATTATGCCTTATAATAATTGTTTCCAGTCAATAAGAGTTTTGCATCTGCAAATATCCACAATCATTTCAAATTTTTACACTTATAACATGATTTTGTGATGAAAGTGATAAATTTGCAAAGCCAACAAAGCCTTCCAAAGCCAGAAAGATGAGAATTAGGAGAACCCACATACTACTATAATGCATCATTTGCATACTGTCCGAGCCACCACACAAGATAGTCCTGTAATTAGTATTTTAGTAAAAGAAGTATTATCTGATAATTTAATACTCTGCTGGCTGTAGCAGTTGTTAGCAGTAAGCGGAGTTGCCTGCTGTGGGCTATGCAGCCTTTGCGACATGAGAGCACATTACGAGAGCGACGAACCATACTCTTGGTGCCAGGTTTCAAACTTTGCTGCCAGTGCTTTGCCAGTGGGCTTGGTCTGCTTGATGGCATCCAAAATGTCTTCTGTTGACACTGGCTCCGGGATGATGCGGTCAGTTCCATCTGCTTCTGCAGTCAATAACAATGCACGTTTGTGTACACGAGTTTTAAGTATATCATATATTCACTCATTTTATATTGATGGTCTGGTATCTTTTCTGATCACGAGACCCGCAATCCTAACTCCTAGATTATTAGAAATAACAGCAGTAGAACACAGCCACAGACAGTTGACATTCTAAACCCACACGTGGTTATGACATCAACTCTGAGCCACGAGCAGAAGACAAAGAAGCGAAAAGAACTGCAAATATAGAACTAAAATATTTTTTAGACCCAACATCCCTTATAATACTGTTTCTTTGGCATGTTATCCATAAACTTACAAGTACTATATGTCTTTGGGGTCTACATCGAGACAACTTTGTCAGTAAGCTAAACGTTTCAGAAATGCACTCTTTCTGTGAGTGAACACCTAATATGTACTTGTTCAAGATTCTCTAGACTCACCAAGTATGAAAGTAATGTGCTGCATTTTTTTTAAATGGTGCCCTACTCACTCAGAATAACTTTATATTAAAAAAAAAAAAAAAAATATTCTTCAGCTGCCACCAAGTAACTATTACAAAACAAAAAAGGTTGCCTCTTATTCCTGCCATTATAGACTCAATTATCACAATAGTAAGTACTGGTGTAAAAAAAAGAAGAGTTCAGCGGAATTTATAACAACAAAGACATTTTATCACTTCACTGAAGGAATGCTCAACTTAGGCTGTACCATCTCAAATCTCAATGCCATAATGTGTTAAGACAAATGAGCACAACCAGTGGTACTGCGAGAGCTCAGGTGTTTACCATTATCACAGCATTCAGCAGCTTCCAATGCTTGGCGGAGGGACTTCATCACTGCTTCTTTGCAGGCTATCTTGATGTCTGATCCTGAATAGCCTTCAGATGCCTGTCAAAGGGTAAAGGCACAAAGAGATTGAATAATTAGCTTATTTAGTTGTCGGTTTTTATCATTCATCCCCATCATCAGAGCATCACAGAGAGTAGCGTAAATACTACTGACTGGGTTTCAACGATCTTTTTTTCAACAGTGATTTCAAACTTTGCAGCCGGAAATTCGTTTTTCTCAACCCTCGAGGACTGCTGATGTCACTCAGTGTTGTGCAAAGTTTTGCTGCCATTGAACATGATGTTGTGTCAATGTAAAACAGTGACAACCACAAAGTTGACAGAGGTTCGGCCATCAGAAAGGCTACATGTGCAGAAGAACTGACAATTGGGCGAGTTGGATGCTGGTAAACATGTTGAGTGGATTGAGCACGACACAACCAGGGCAGAAGTAAATTAAGGACACAAACACCAGCCCCAGTCTCACAACTAACTTTATTAGCACAGAAAGACATAATAAGAAAGACATAATAAAGTACAACCTATAACTACATGAACACATGCCGATGACATCAAACAGAGAATAAAAATGACAAGATTAAAGGTGGGCTAAACAGAACAACTGTACCAAGTGATAAAACTATTCAAGAAAAAATTTCTCTATCGTGCAGGGCAACAGAGGCAATATTCGCGGACCTTGTGTATATTTTCGCGCATGCGGATCAGGCCACCAGAGAAATTATGGAAGCTTTCTACGTCCACGGAAAAGGCCCTAGTTGTGTAAGCATGCCTTCTACTGCCCTGCATGACAGAGAAATTTCTTTCTTAATTAACTTTCTCACCTCATACAGTTCTGTTTAGTTCATCTTTAATCTTCTGATTTTATTCTCTGTTTGATGTCATCGGCGTGTGTTCATGTAGTTATAGGTTGTACTTTAAAATATGTCTTTCTGGGCCAATAAAGTTAGTGGTGAGACTCGAGCTGGTACTCGCGTCCCTTCTTTATATCTGCCCTGGTTGTATCGTGCCCAATTCACTCATCATGTTTAGACAACATGTGGATTCTTTATGTACTTGTGTAATTTCGAACACGCATTGGCAGTAATAGGGCGACTGACAAAAGTATTCACTCCACTTCTAGCATATAAGAATCCGTTTGCCATCCTGGGGCTATGTATTGCAAAATACATATTATTCATCGTTCATTTTATCTCATTATACATGATAATTAGTGGCCAATACTAGCAGTAACAGTTGCATAGGGCTGTCAGGGCTAATGAAAAAGAGCCAAAAAAATAACAATGAGAAAGACTGAAACGTGACCCTTGATTTAACATTACACTGATGCAAATGTCATGACAATTAAGTGCACTTCGTTATAAGTATGTACTGGTTTTTTCGCTTCACGTACATACACATGCGTCACTGCACAAACTGTGGCAATAGGTTTCTGAACGAGATAGAAAAAGAAATATACAGTCGCACCTCGCTGACAAGGTTGTAGTCGATGTCAGCAGCCACGAAGCAACTTTCTCGGCGGCCACCACTCTTTGCACTTTGTCCACCTTCGAGGAATTTGTGGAACAAAAATGTGCGGGCCTCTTTGCCTGGCAGAGGCACCAAGATGCGTTTTTCGAGTCTTCGAAGAACAGAATGGTCCAGGTCCCTGTTCTCGGAGACGGTTAAAGGAGATATTCCTTATGTGATAGTGTGCAGTTTTAAACATCTATCTGCTGTACTGTGGAATCACACCAGAGAGACAGAGTTAAGGACTTTAAAAGATAAAATGAAAAGACAATGCCCATAAAGCTCATAGACCTGATAAAGCACCTGAAAAAATCTCTACAGCGAGGTTGACAAAAAGATGAATTTCTGGTGTTAAGCCGCCGTGACATACCACTAAAGAAAAATGTTTAGTTGCATCGCAGAATCTGCAGCTAACTTGTACTTGCTAAATTTTCTTTGTGTTCTAATGAATGATGACTTGCTCACCATGGGAATTGGAAGTAGCCAACACAAATACGTGATCCTTGGAGTTGCTCAGGCCATCCATCTGTATCAGGAGCTCACTTTTCATGCGGCGACTGGCCTCGTTCTCACTGAAAAAAAAAATAAAAGAAAATGATCAAGGAACTATCAAAGCAGCAGGTATGGAAGGACAGCCCAGCTGCATTCTCATTTGCACATAAATACTCAGAGGAACAGTCTTTCAGAATATGTACCTAAGCATTTCCTCTGGTACTTAGCATCCAAACCACGACAATCAGGGGCAGGTTACCTGTTTCCAAGTCCACCTTTAGCCCCAACCAGTGCGTCGAGCTCGTCTAGAAATATGGTCGCAGGCGAGTTGTGTCGAGCCAGTTCAAACAGCACCTGTATGCAAAGGGGTGCCTCTGGTTATGACAGACCAATCCTTTTTGTCAGAACGACATAACCAGGAACACTGCTCATCGATACCAAGCACGTAAGAATTCAGAACATGTGCATTTTGGAAGTATTAGGGAAAAAAAAACTACTCACCCTTACTAACTTTTCAGACTCTCCTCGCCACTTGCTGACCAATGTTGACGCAGTGATATTGAAGAACGTAGTCTTGCATTCTGTTGCTACAGCTTTTGCAAGGAGTGTCTTTCCGGTGCCTAAAGCAGAGAATTTATTAATGACAAAACATATCAGACCAAGGTGCTGCTTGCTTTGTCTTAGAGCACTACGTGTGTAATCTATGAATTAAATTTTTCTCGTTCTACTTGGACAAATAAAATCAACTCTCAAACATTCAAATGAAAGCTAAATTCTATTTGCACAGGTCTTTTGACAAGTTAAATTTTAATTCGTTCAAGTGAGCAGAGTTTCAGCTTGTGAAAACTGTATACACTCTTTTGTAGTATCATCATGCTGTGAATTCACTTCATGTGGATTCCAGGCACCTTCTAATAAAAGTAAAGCCCGCGGTATGTATCCACATTGGCAGTCATGAAAGCAGCCTTATTATTGGACTGTATAAGATGCATATCTGCTGATGCAGCCCAATGCCATGCGGAAAGTATTTTACATGTGATCACGACCTTTTGAAACCATAAATTTTATTATTTTTGTCAGTAAAAAGATAGTAATTCTAAAAGAAAAATTGGGGGTACACAATACACCAACATGCGAAAAAAAAATCCACCTGGTGGTCCGAAGAGCAGAAGTCCCTTCCATGGACCCATTATTCCAGAAAAGATGTCTGGATACTAAGCGGCATGCAATGATAATAAATGCATCACAGAATAAATTACTCATTGCAGTGAACAGCAGTTCGTAATAAAATGTGCTCATCATGAAATGTTAATAACAATACCTTCGGCTCATACTTCAAGCTTTGTAAAACAACACACCACAGTGCTTTTCAATATGTGTGGAACAGGGAACTCAACAGCCGACAAGAGTTCCCAACAAGAGGCGAAACATGCTCACTCTAAGCATTGTCGAACCACAGAGTAATCAATATGTTAAAGAAAATCAGTGTACCATGTCTTGAAGTGGTCATTCTAGTGCACAGTTTATGCATGCACTGTTATTATTATGTACTATTTGAAAAAGAAGTTTTCCTATGTTTTTCAATTTTTCCTTACTAGTGTAACAGGTTTAAATAATGACAGTGTAATATGGTCTTATCAGAACTATCACTAAACACCAGGGACCAATACAAGCTTTATTGGTGTCTCAGGCCTATTGTTTGGTAATATAATAGAATGAAATAACAAGTAATCAAATATTTTTAAATATTTCTATGAAAACTTTTTCATAGACTACTAATGAAGCTTCGCTGAATACAGTTTTTACTTCCACTATCATGACAAATACAGGCTGAACTGACCTTCATTGGGTAAATTAAAGCTTCCTTGATAAGCCGCTTTGCTGACTCAAGACCAACAATGTCATTCCAGTGGACATTTGGACTGTCCACATAGACATCCTGCAAAAAAAAAAAAAAGCCTACATGCATCACAAAACAATGTCACTGCTTTCTTTTGTTGAGCAACCTTGTTTAGTAAATTCCTCAGTGTATTCTTTTTGTTTAATGAGGAATTAAATTTTGAGGCTATTGTGTGTATGCATATACTGTTTTGCAAAGTCCGTACATTGTAATGATATGAGAGAATTTTTATGTCAAGTTTTTAACTATTTCGTTGCCATGCACAAATGGCTATTTTTTATATGTCTCAGGAATGTAGTTTTTGCCAGTTTGAAAAGTACTCCAGCACGCATTGCAGCATACCAAATTTTGCACTAGGAAATGCAATTTCCAAAAAATATATTTTGTAGAGCAACAAAGATGTTTCAAATGAATAAAAATGTGAAAAGTGTGTAATTTTTTGTAGACAGCTGGTAAACAGTGGAATATAAAACACTATATAAGCAAAAATATTATAAACAAGGAAAATTCAAAATATACATTTTGAAGATAAATCACCCAGGAAAAGTATAAAAAACAATAAATATTGTAGTAAATGTTTCTAGTCACACAGACAAAGAAAATCGAAACTGAGGTGCTGCCTCATCGCTTGTGCCATGCGGTGAAGCATTGCACGGTTTTTCGTGTGACACAGGTGAACTCGTACACTTTTCTCAGTAAATTTTTGTTTTTTTTTTGCGATAAGAGCCTGACGGTGTTTCAATATAGCATGGATAGCCGTGCTGCGAATAATCTCTCTATAGATCAGATGACCAATTAACTTGGCTATTTCGTCTAGCGTCACCTCTCTCCATGAGCCACCACTTCACTCCGGATAGGTTGGCGATCCAATATATGCATCTAAGCATTACTCTTTGCATTGTTGCACATCGTATTAAAAAAAATATTGCACGCAGATTTAAAACGTTTCGCACTGCTTCGTAGTAAGAGCCAAGGGCCACTGGGGTGTTCTCTGGTGGCCTTCTTGTCATGAAGAAAAACTCTGCAGCCAGTGCCAACACATCACACACCAGCGACGTGTGGACCTCGCATGTAACCAGTGTTGCTGTAAGATTGTGGGCAAAGGTCAGCTGCTACACACTTGAGGCGGAGGAAACAACGTGAGGCTGTAAACTAAACAAACCAATCAACGGCTGAGGATGTCTCAGGCTGACGCAAAACATCGTCGCCATCAAACTTGAAGCTGAGGTGCTGTCATCCTCGAAGCTCGTCTTCACTCAATTCAGGTGCGGTTGCAAGACAGTTTTGAGTGGTGCGTGCTTTTTTCAGCACAGGTGTGCCCCCATGTGCGCGTGACGACGATGCCATAGGAGCGACTAGCGACACCAGTCGCGGCCCTGTGTCTGATGTAACAATACAAGCAATACCAAAGCTGTTGAAAACTGACTGAAAAGGTCACCTCCACACTTTAAACATGCAGCGAACCTCCAAAGATATTTTTTGTAGAATAAATTTTTCCCAACTTTTAGCAACAGCTCTCTATTAAATAGCTGCGTAAATTTTTGGTAATTATTGCTGCTCAACACTATCAGATAGCGAAGCTGACACCTTAATTTGATATTGGACTTGCAAAAGTTCTTTTGATTAGAGAACTTTGATGTTATTCTAGCATAACCAAGATGGGCACGGACTTCTCCCAAGTTTGCCAGCCAAGTGCATTTTCCCCAGAACACATGCATATTGGTTTGCGCAAAGGTCTGTCCAAAATCAATATCTTGCCAAAACAGCCAAATTAAAATTGGATTCTGAAAGTTGAGTAGCTAGACTAACTACTAAAAAGTTCTGGGTGCATGAGAAACATGTTAAACATGCCGACTGACAATCTAAAGCGTCGATGACCGGTGATCAGTTTGAATACGCATGGTAATGAAAGAGTTAAGGAGAGTTCCGTGGCAGCTAGTCGCACTTCAATTTTGAACATACCCTGCACTCATGGTATTCATTAGAAAATAAATTACTGTAGGGGTAGTTGATGCACGGTAATTATGACAGAAACAGTCATAATTACGAAAAAAGGGAGGTAGAGACAGAGCTGAGGGTGTCATCTTGAACTTGCTACACACCAAATTAGACTACATTCTAAAGCATAAAAAACAAAAGGTAGAGAAAAAGATGACACCAAAAGCCTTAGTAGCTGACATGTTCATAACATAAAATCACAGCGCATGCAACACCCCAGGCTCCAACCTCGTGAATACAAAATTTTCCCTCCCCTAGGACAGCTGAAATTTTTTTTTTCTACCAAAGTTTCCCTCAGTTATATAAAATAATTAAAATTATTCATGATTTCTTGTGTGACCGGCACTTCTGTTGTTTAATCACCATTTGTACTGACAAGACTTCGTTTAGCATAACTTTAACAGTGCATTATTTGAACAACAAAGAAGTAATGAGTAATCACAGTAATGAATTACTCTTCATATGAGGCGCTAGCTTGTACCACCTTGCTCTGAAGTTTGAACATTTGCACTCTCGCAGTACACTCAGCTTCTGGGTCTTTGGTAATAAACACGGAGTGTGCACTCACAGAGGGGCAGCTCAAACTATCAGCCTAGCCAGGATGATCCTTGCTGACTGATATGAAGCAACGTGGTGCTCCGCTTGTCTAATGATGCAAAATAGGCCATGTGTAGGTACAAAGTTGTTTGAAAGAACAATAATTTATTCGTCACTTTTGTTGATATATTAGGACAGCCACCAAATGCAATATATGCTGGAGTTTTCAAATATGCAATAGACACTACGGAACAAATTTTTTCTCCCAACACGTTAATGTAGCTCCCTACGTATACATTGATGAATTCCACATAGGCAGCTTGTAGCATGGAGTTTTACTAAGCTGCCGTTTTGTCTGCAACATTCCAATTAGACAAGGAGCAATAAGGCTAATATTGAGATGAAGAGTATTCACTAAATGCGAGTGCTTATAGTGACTTATGTAAATATACGGATGCATTCCGCAGTGCAATACAACAATCGGTCAGCTGCTTACCCACAAATTGGGATCACAGGAGTGCCTCTAGATATTAAAAAAACGATTGTGGTCAATATATGACAGTATTAGAAAAAAAAAATGTAATACAGTATCTATTTAAGGGGGCAGACTGGACTTTGGGACCAAAAAGTGACAAAAAAATTAATTTTTTAAAATTGACATATTTGGTTTCTGCAAGTATTTTTCTATCTCTCTGCTGATTTTGACACACTAGGACGTGGTAACTTTTTTTTTTTGTAATGTCATTCTAGCTGTCCAGATTCTTGGTGCTGTTAACATGCAGAACCTGCAAAAAAATGGGGAACCGACTTTGAGGCCTATTTATAATTTGCCGGGACCTATGTTACAAGCTCTGCTACGAATTTATGAGCACCTTCGTGAGGATTGCAAAACATGCACACCATGAATGTTGCTTTTTGAAGAGGCTGTGTGTTCTCAGTTTTCTCCATTTTTCTCAAAAAAGTAAATTTACAACTGTTCAATTTTGAGGCCTTAATATCTCTACAGGTAGGGCAGGAACAACAATAATTCTTTTTGCAATGGAAACCTGTATGTGTGTAGAATGCAAATATGGGAGCAGAATTTAGAGCACAAGCTTTTTTAATTAATTATTCATCAAAATTGTAATACAATTCCAACTGCTTTTGAAAATGAATAGTTCATTTTGCTGTAAAATATTCTAGAAAGGCCCAAAAACAAGACTCTTGCATACTTTCAATCTATAGTCATTAGTCTATATTGGCATATCTTAAATATCACTTTTAGTTAAGCACTTTTTTTCTATGGCAGCCTCAAACAACAGGGGGTGAACTTAAGAAACCTCAGGAACAAGATGAGTTACAGGAAAACTAATTAATTATTTGAATTCAGCAGAAAAGACTGCACAATTCTGTGCAGTTTGATCAAGATCACTGAAGAAATAAACAAAAAACGTCTAATACCAGTCTGCCTCCTTAAGTGCGAGAGATTGCCATGAAAATAAAAAAAAACAATTTGGAAATTGAGATGAGGAAGAACACGCAAGCTTTTTCAAGAAATGGCAGAATTACTTTTTTTTACCACACAGACCTAAATATTACCTTAATGTAGGAAATTTCTCTTAAGTTGGCAGCCCTGGTGATGCCCATGCCAAGCTTGACTGAGCTATATGTTATTAAGAGCAGCACGTTCAAGTTCCTACACAACCATATTTTTTTCTCACCTTTGAAATGATGTCAACCAAGTTAAACCATTCACTTCCCAAAGTGGCACCCATAGCTTGAGGCAACTTTAGCTGTGGTACACCTGGTGTACAGATCTGCACAAGCAAAGCATCGCGTTTATGGCCATTTTACAAAGCATGACTGACAAAAAGCTTACTGCACAGCACCACAATACCTGTATAGAACTGACCTAGTTAATGCTATCTAACCCTTTCCCTGCTGTGAAAAAAAGAACAGAATTGTGCCAAATTTTCCAAACATTTCCCCCCCTGAATTTGCAGAACTTTTTTTTCAGAATAAAATGATATAGCTACATTAATTAAATGGGGGTTTCTTTATTTTACTAATGGCATAAGAAACAAAGCTAAAGATGACTTCATCACATGACAGTACAATAAAAGATAGCAATAAAATGAGAACTGAGAGTCAACATGGACAAGTGTGGTCATCTAGTGTCAAGAAACACAGTTATGATGAGTATAATCAAGATTTATTTCATGTGGAACAAGTTTTGTTGATCATTTTGTTATAAAATCTCATGAAGACTATCCTCTTCAATGGGAGGGAAAGAGATAACACAATTTTCAAGCTGCCATTTTTTTTTATCGTATGGACAGAATTTATCTGTCCATACAATGTCATCTACTTTGCCAAAAAATACTATATTACAAAGTGTCACACCTTGAATTTCCCATATGGCAATTCATGCTCAAATACCATAACGACCATCGATAACATAGCAGGCAGCACAAGTGCTTTTGTGTTGTTTAGCCCTTAAAGAGTTTGTTGAAGCCTGGACATCCTCAGTCATTTTTTTTATTTATGCAAACAGGACACAGCTTGGCAAGTTACTGAAAACTATACTTTAAACAGCATTATAAATTAGGCCATCTTTACTGGCCTGACAAGCTTACTATGATACTGGGCATCAAACAAAAATCTCGACTCGATTAGAAGGTACCGTTTAATATCACCTATATTTATTTTGTAAAAAGAATATTCGGCATTTTGCCCCCATCTAATGTCCATTTCTAGAATCAAACATCAGCTGCAACCTCAGACTTGGCAGTGTAATGCCACAGCTATGAAGCTACTATGGCAGGCGCCAAACCATAAGTTTAGGCTAGTGCAAATATTCATATGCTTCAAATATTCACACAAATATTATTACATTAGAATTTAAATTGTTGAAAGTTTTGAAGCATTCAAAATATATGGATAGGTGTATGTTAATCTGCATGTAACTCCTCTAAAAATGATTTCGCTGCAGAGAAGTGCTATGCTCAGAAAACATCTATTCAGGGGATATCCGTGCTGCCGCGAAGCTCCACTACAAGGTCAAATGAACACACTCTCACAGCGATTCATCATTTAATTTTTAAGTTTAAAAGCCTGCTATACCGGCTTATATGCTTTAAGTATGGTAAATTATAAACGTAACATACTTTAGAGGCTGTCACTAGTGTTTACCGAAATCCTGCTACAATTAAAAGTTGTTTCCACTTCCTTCAAATCAAAAAGAATGAAATTTGCATAGGTATTCTTTCAAATTTTAAAAAGTTCTGTACAGGTTTGTTGGGTCATGAAAAATATGGCCATTTTTCTTTATAATATATTATAAACATACTATTCTTATTCGTTTGAGAATTATCCATCCGAATTGACTATTCACTTTGAATTCCCTTTGAATCTAAAGTTCCCTATTTGCACAAGCCTACATAAGTTAATTATAAATGACATTGTACACTTGAGCACTTGTCCCACGGTATTGGGTATTGAAGTAAAACAGGCATGGGCAGGTTTTCTTTCTACTCCTAATGGACAAAAAACTGCTTTGTCTAGGGTTCTGCGTGCCATCATATGATTATGAGGCATGCCGTAGTGGAGGGCTCAGTAAATTTCTACCCGCTGGGTACTAGATCTTGCTTGATTCTGCTGGCACCTCCTCTACAAAATAATAACTATGAAAAATAAGTGTGATAGAAGTGCTGGTTGATTAATCCAATCCTTTAATCCAAACCTGTTGGCAGTAGGTCACTAACCTGTATTCCCAGGCGCCTGTCAATGGTGATGTTTTCAGGCCGAAAGGTGTTTTCAAGCTGTGTAAAAAATGTGAAAAAATAAACCACACAATAAATCAGTTGAAAAATAAATACCAAAGGAAATTAGGAACACATCACAGGTTCTGTCGCGAGTTTGAAGAAACCACCCAAAAAAATTTACAATGTTTCTGTAGAAACCTAGTTTAAGAGAAATGTTTTTCTTTATTTTTATTCAAACAGGACAACGATAAAGTACAAAACAGCTTAAGCAGAACCATGACCATTTTGCAGGTGTGCAGTGAAGTGAATAGCATGTTGGAGACTGAAGCAACTAAGGCAACAGGTTTTAGCATTAAGCTGTAGGTTCGTACGCAAATCAATCTGAAGAGAGCACGGTTCTTACCTTCCCTTTAGAGAGCTGCGAGTCAGATTTGTGCTTCTCGTCACTACTTGCACGATGAAGGCCCCGTATCCGAAATGTGCTGCAAAAAGACCCACTCCCATTGTTTGATGTTTGAGTTGACTGTCCCTGAGTAGAACTGAAAAATCACAAGGAAGAGCAGCACAGTGATCAGAAATTTACAATTGTAAAGCTGATAAAGCTAGTCCACACAGATTCAAACTGTGATCAGGTTCCTTTCCGAGTGAAAGCCTACTCGACAGATGGGCCAGCACTGAGATGTAAAAGTACTGAAAAATTGGTCAGTTGGTATGAATTCATTATGGAAAGTTTTGCAGCACACACAGAACAGACAAGGACATGATAAAAAAAAATCTTGATTGTTTGCTTTCTTTCTTCACATTCTTTTTTAGAGTGTGCATGCTGAGAAACTTTCCATGAAGGGATGTTTACTTTTTGAGCGGCAGCAGGACTTTTACCTTTCAGTATTAATTAGAACCAACTTTCTCTATGCTCAAAGTTTATATGCAATGTGCTTGTCAGTGACCCTTGGCCACCTGAATTTTAGTGTGCAGTGAGCTGTACAGTAATTAAAATTAGGTAGTCACTTGGTTGTGGATTATGTAATTTTCTGAAGTGGACACTGAGGTAAATGACAACAACAATTTAGCACAACACAAGTGACTGTAGCCCTGAACACTGCACAAGATAGTGTTCAGTCGATTCTTCAGCTCAGAGTGCATTATGCTGTCTCATATATTCAATGCAGACAAGGCCTGCTACAACTGATTCTTCTTACTTGAATTTGTTCTGTTTTATTGTCTGCAAATCATGACATGTGAATCCTAATGATAGCAACCAGACTGCTGCTTACACTACTGATTAAGTGTAAATAAAAAAAAAGAAGAGGAATAAAAATTGTTTTATTAACCCCATCAATAAACACCATGGTGATTAGATGCACATCAACAAGAGTCCTTGGTAGTGAATGTTAACAAAACAGAGTGCAGGAGTGTGTGCCTCAAAAGCGTAATGAATAAAAAAATGGGAGCCGCTGACCTCAAAAAACGGTTAAAACAATGCAAGAATAACTTACTGTCCACGTGATGACTTTGACTGCTTCTGCATGCCACTCTCTGCATGAGAAATGTACAAATTAGGAAGATTTCGTGTCTCGAATGCATAAAACTATCCATGGGAAACAAGAAAGCAGCACGCAACACACCTTCCAGCTTACGAGTGATGTGTGGCTGTTTCCTGAACTTGACAAACTGGAATGTTTCGTACTCTTGAAGTATTAGCTCCAGATCAACATTATCACAGAGTACGTATTGGTCAAGTTTCAGTGTTGATTCAGTCTTGAGACTCTCTGCAGTTGTCATGAGCCTTAGAGACAAAAAAAGCAAGGCAGTTATACATTGCTGGTCAAGTTGAGGCAAATAGTTGGAAGCAGAGCTCCTCACCCTTCGTGTTGAAGGTAGTGCAGGATCAGTATTAGAAGGTTGCGCTTTCGAACGGCCGATTTCTGTTCTTCCTGCGCATTTATAACACATATTCCTTACAGCCACACCCGCAAAAGAATCGATTCAGTACTTACAGTGTCGGCGATGTGACCGTCCACGAACGATTTTGCTGTTTTTGACTCTGCCATCTTTCTGCAAAAAACGAGATATCAGCACGAACGAACTTTGCAGTTTCCGCCACAAACCTCATGGTGTAAGAAAACTTCACCGTCCTAGGCTCCATGATAGAACTAAGCGAAGCAAGCGGCATGCCTTCGTTAAGTGGTCACGGCAGGACTGAGGCCCTTTCGAGCGACCGATTCGCGAAAGTGGCTGACGTGCCGACTTACGCCGTTTTCTTGCTCATTTTTGTAAGCTTCTAAACTGCACGAAAGCCGTTATTACAGTGCGTGAGAGACAGAGGAGCCGGTCATCTGCGCTCGTCCACAGAATTATAAATAGAACAATTGATCGCGAGAGCGTGTGCGCAGTATTATTGCCCGCACGAACGCCTTTGACAGCGCTGACCACAGCTAGGTGTCGAGCGGCGAAGCCGCAACGCGCACACCTGAGTTGAGAAGTGACCGCGACGCTGTACGTATGGATTTTGACGACAGAACTTCGTACCTGTTAGCAGCTGATGAGGAGCTTGTCTCAGATGATCAGCAGCCCACCGTCACCGTGGCGCTTACGCTACAGCACAGCTGATCGCTGCGCATCAACGCCATGACAAACAAGGTGCAGCCGAACGCGCAGGATTATTTTTGACCAAATGCCCCGAAAGCATCATCATCAGTTGCAGTCGTCGCGTGCTTGTAGTTTAGACAACGTTACATAGATGGCAGAGCTAATCACGCCCTTCTACATGTTCCCGAAGTGCCTGCAGTTATGTGGTCCATGTTATTTAATTACAAAAAATGTGGAAAAGCTTAAGAAAAAAAGTTAATCTGACTTCAAAAGACAGAGTAACATAAGAAAAAAGTTAGCTCGGCCTTATGCGATGCACTGTGGCGGGAATTTCAAGTTATCCGAAGCGGTGTGCTCTTAGTAGTGCATGCGCGCTTTCTTTCTTTCTTTCTTTCTTTCTTTCTTTCTTTCTTTCTTTCTTTCTTTCTTTCTTTCTTTCTTTCTTTCTTTCTTTCTTTCTTTCTTTCTTTCTTTGTTTCTTGCTTTGTTTCTTGCTTTGTTTCTTGCTTTGTTTCTTGCTTTGTTTCTTCCTTTGTTTCTTTCTTTCTTTCTTTGTTTCTTTCTCATGACATGAAGGTCGGGGGTTTTATTCCGGCCGCGGTGGTCACATTTCGATGAAGGCTGAATGGAAGAGGCCCATGCACAGTGCAATGTCAGCGCATGTTAATAAAGACCATATGGTGAAGATTTCAGGAGCCCTCCGCTGATTCTCTCATAATCACATCATGGTTTTGGGACGTAAAACCTCAGATATTATAATTTCCTTTCTTTTTCTTTTTGAAAGTGAGATGTGAGGCACATGTCAACTAATCCTGACAGTTTTTATATTTCATGAACGTGTTGTCTGATCTTGACTCATGTTTTCTTCACTTGCGACCAGGAGCCTAGGCAGACATTTTTGGGGGGGAGGGGCATCTTTTTGATATGAAAAAGGGGCCGAGCAGGCAAATTGTCATTTCGCGCTTCGTGTGCCATGGCGGAAAAAAAAATCGAGGGGGGGGGGGCGAGGGCACGAGCCCTGTGTGCCACTACCCCCCCCCCCCCCCCTGGCTACGCCACTGCTTGTGACTGCCAGATCCGTAAGAAGGCGCGTTTTACAGCTAGTTTTGGATGTAACATTAACGTGAAAACTTAATGTGAAACTTTTTTCAACTTTTTAGGTATATAGACACCCGCAGATGACATCGATTGCCTAGTACTGTGAGAATTGATGCTAAGCTAATATAACCGCGAGATCGACCAGAGTCGCCGCCTGGCGGCAACTGGCTGAAACGGTGAAGTGTGGATTACTCCTTGCGTCGTCTGCTAGCCACGTCGTGTTTCTATGTGCGCGTACGTCATGAACGTTCTCAAAGTGTGGTTTGTCCAGTCATGTCTGCGTCAGTGTAACTGTTTCTACGTTAGCCGGAAACGACGTACGAAAACATTTTGTTTTGCTCAACTGCTAATGCACTGTAATAAGATCGGTGAGTGCAACTTTCCAGAGTGCTGTTTATTGTCGGCGTACCCTCCATTCATCAGAATAATTTCAGAGTGGGTGCCGCTTTATGTTTCAAGCACATCGAAAAATGCTCTTGGCGTCCTCCCTAACATGAGGACTACTAAATGTTGTGCCAATGCAGCGCTTTATAACGACTCTGCTGAAAAAATAAAAAAAAAAGAAAAACACCCAGGCTCTAGGTTATGCACTTGCGCGCTGTTGTTAGGTGTACAACTACGGCACTGTAGTTTATCGATCATGCGAGGAGCCTTAGTTGTGTTTATCTGGCTGTGGTACCACTACATAAAAATATTACTACAAGATAAACTGTGAGACTTCGGTACTTACACTGTAATTAAAACAGAGTTACCGTGCGCAACCGTGTGCTTAGATTTAATAACGCTTTAAAGAGCCCAAACGTTGAAAGTTGATTCAGACGGCATGGCTTATATATAATGTCAAAAAATTTCATCTTTTTTACATTTTTTTCAGCGTTTGTGTGGCATTGTTAGTGACCGACGGAAAGCAGTGGTCATTTTTTTGTCTAAAAAAAAAAAAACATGCTCGTTCCATTAGTCAGGCCTTTGCTGTAGCACTCTCGTGTACTTAATCTATCGATGAAAGCTTTCTGCTGAACTCTTATATAGAATTTTTATATTTTTACTGGTGCAAGATCATGTGCGTGCACGTAATAAATGCAGTGCAGCGCGACACGCCATCAGCCAAAATGCTTTCCTGACTAGACTTATCGGCTGTCCATGGAGAACAGAATGAGAGAGAAAAAAAACGCATGCATATAACGTGCGAATGGTGGTACTGAACGAATCACACAGATATGCGGGATTTCTACGATCGTTCTTTCTCTCTTTTTTGTAGTATGCAGAAGACAAAGATGTAGACAAGTAGTTCAGTCACGCTACGGCAGTGCGTAGCAGGCTGTACACAAGCTAACCACGTACAAACAACTCAGCAAAGGCGTGATTTATTGCGAAAGCGTGAAGAGAGTCACCCAGGGCGAGCATCCCTGTGAAAGGCAGAATGCTCTTTACTCGTGGGTAATGTTAACATCGCATAGGCATCGTGCACCGATTAAGTAGAGAAGAGCGTAGATATTAACGGCTCAGGCCGCACGCAACGAAGCGCCGCCGACCGCCCATTCACACTTGCGTGGGGCGGTGCTGACACCAATGACGTGTTCCGCATCGCGTCATTGGGTGAAAACGTGTTTACTTTTGGGAGGAAGGGGGAGAGAGGGGGTGACAGTTCCAGGTGCTAGGCGAGCGTGATTGGATTTCTACGACAGCTGCTCACATTATTTTAACCTGAATTTCATCCAAGAGATTCCATGCTAGTGCATGGATGCTTCGTTCACTTCTCTATTAAACAGCAATAGAATATTTACTCACAGTCGAACCCTGATTTACAAAACACGGTTATATAAAATTTTGTAGAATTCCAGCTTTTAAGTCTCATGCTTATGTAGAACACAGTACAACGTCCATGTAGGGAACGTTTACTGCCACGTTCGATATACCGAGCGGCTCTTCCCCTGCACGCACGCTTCTCCTAACGGCAGTACGATCGTATCTCGCTTCGGTGGGTGGTAGATTCGCATCGACGATGCGATGCTGTTTTGGTAGATGCAGTTCGCAAGGGGGTGGGTCTCAATGGAAGTGCAAGCATGAATTAAAAAAAATAGCATGGTATAAACACCTGTTGCAGCAAGAGCCTCATTCCAGTTTGCAATAATGGATTTCTTTTACTAAGCTAGATGTAGTGAAGCAAACCAAAACATCGAAAATGACCATTCTTTACGCAGTGAAGCGTGCTACGTGGTGTTTATACCTCGCATTAAATTGCCAATAATTTGAAAACTTGACAATAAAAACTTTTTTTTTTGAAAGTGGGCTTCTCCCCACTAAGTATCTTGTTGCGGAGAAGTAAACTTTAAAAACGCTGGTACGCATGCATTATTTGCGTTAACATGAGTCAGAATTGGTAAAGCTTAATATTGAACCTCAGTGATCTTTGTATATATTTTTCTTGTAGTCAAGTTCTATTGATAATACTTTTTTTACGACGAAAAGACGTTAAAGCATTGTTTAAAGTTACGTTTGCCGCATTACGTTTTTGTTATGCGGTAAGGCATACACAGCATATTGTGCTTTGCGTGAGAGAGATTTATCAAACGCTGACACTTAAAAAAAAAACAAAAAACAAAGAGGAATCTCCAGTTTAAAAAGCGCACTTCCCTTTGATAAGATGCACACTTTATTACAAATCACGCGTTTTCTTCGTCTGTGTTGTTCTCCGATATCTACTGCACAAGTGGCCCACGCCTACTGTGGTTAGCCAAGACGCGGATGGCTAGAGCTGAATCAACGTATTATATGCGTGCACCGTGCGCAGCACCTTTTACGCCGTAAAATTTGTTGACAGATAATGGGCAAGTTGTAATTAGTGTAGTTTAGTTTTACTGTGTGCAACCTTTTATCGCATTGTTTTAACCCCATATTAAAAGCGGTCGTACCTAACCTGATATTCACTTTTTTTAAATCATGGTGGTGGTGACAACGCTGCCCATGGCAGCTTTTTTTTTAACGCTCAGGCGTTAACGTTACCCACGTGTGTTCCTGCCGGTAGATATAAAATTTCCATCAGCTGTGGCACATACCCGCATACCAGTGGCCTATACCCTCCCCCGGTTATGGTGGTGGTAACAACTTTATTAACAACTCCGGCGAATTCGTGGCCTAGGTCTAGGCCGTCTCCGAGCAGGACCGGAGACCCCGTTTCCTCGCCTCCTCGCGGTCTTGCTGGAAGGTCCACAGTTGATCCTGGAGGTTGGAGCTGCGCAGCGCACGGCGCCGCAGCCTCATCTAGGGAGACTGCATTTTCTTCCGATTAAATTGCACATTCCCAGAGAATGCGCCTAAGTGATGCGTGAGTCCAGCCGCACAATTTGCCAGTATCATCTAGATGGACAACTGGGTATATTCTCTTAAAATGAATGGGGTTGTGAAAGGTCTGTGTTCGCAATTGCCTTCAATCTACCGCTTCGGATCTGTCGAGTTTGGGGCTTGGTGGTGAATAAATACGCCTAGATTTTTTTTTATAAAAGCTCGTAATGTCCCAGTATGGGGTCACTCTATCCCTCTCTGTCCAGCCCTCCGCGGGTTGTCCATCGCCTGAATAGGACCTCTCTACGTGGGTGCGGAACGTGAGACCTCGCGCTACGCGTTGGACCTCCGCATCGAGGTAAAAAAATCATGTTATCGTGGATTATTTTGTCGCACAAGTGCTCAACACAATTCGCTCAAACGCACGCTTGTTATAGCATCAGTACATTCGACTAGTATTAAAAAAGCTACTGACAATCTTTTACGTCCGTCGCCATGGCCCCGATAGATGTCGGGGTGCTGATATTGTCTGATTGATTGATTTGTGGGGTTTAACGTCCCAAAACCACCATTTGATTGTGAGAGACGCCGTAGTGGAGGACTCCGGAAATTTTGACCACCTGGGGTTCTTTAACGTGCACCCAAATCTGAGCACACGGGCCTACAACATT